GCTGTGACAAAACTATGTAAAGATATAAATTTTATTCCAAGAATAAGAAATGGTTTAAACAGAGGAGTTCTGTGTTGTACATCATCCTCTTGGACACAAGTTCAAGGAAGGGTTCAAGAGACAGCGAGAACAGAAGCCAGCAGAGTAACAAGGAGGTTAATGCAATATTCTAAGCAAGAGCTCAAGATTTCCCTAAGGTGGTAGCAGTGGGTGCTATTAGAAGTGGGAGACGCTGAGGTTGACAGTTCAGAAGACATGACCTAGGTTAGAATTTGGGAATTACTCAACTGAGAAACTAAAGAACAAGGACAAGGGGATGGAGCACGCCAGATTTTGAGGTGATAACAATGGAGATTGTTATCATCTGATAGAGGCGTCTGTGTGGAGGAGCCCAGACGTGGACATAGAGTACAGTCATGGTTTGTGTTGAGTTGTTACAGTTCTGTCTGTAAAGTTAATCCATATTATTGTTTGTTTCATGTACTTCAAGCCTGTGAGGTCACTCTCCGTCACAGACTTTAAATATGCGGATCCCTCTCCCATCTCAAGGCTCTAATTTAGTGTTTTCTTTCCTGCTGTGATCTTTCCTAAATTCTTCACATGATTAAATCTGCCACATCCTTCACTGTCACCTAAATAGTCATCTGTTAGAGGGGACACCTTACTAATGAAATGGCTTCACTATCTGTCATATTTTTACACCATTACACTTACTACAGTCTATTATCATTAAGCTCCCTCATATGTTCATTTGTTTATATGGTATTTCCTGTCTTCCTCACTAATTTGTAAGAATGAGGAAATCAACAACCTTACTTATTTTGCTTTTGTTGTGTTTTGCTGATCACTATATTTCCAATACTATATTTCCAAAACTACACATTCTTCTTGAAAAATAATATGTGTAAAATAAACATGCTATAAGGACTAAAATGTCATCACACAGTATCTGCTATAAAATTACCCTTAAGACTGACAGTATTGGAAGAGCCTTATGGGCCTCATGCCCTGAATATTGACAATGCATTATCGTACTATGCCATGGTCATCTTAGCCATCAAGCACTTCTTTGCTATTTTCTTATTCATAACATAAAAGTTTGTATTCCATAACTATGCCATACATAAAGAATAATACATTTGTAATGAGACAAATTTTTAACTACAAAATCTTTCTGGAGCACAGAAAACCTGCCAGTAAGAACACCCTCAAAAAATAATGATACTCCCTCCCCAAGTAGCTGTCAACTGACAATAACTGCCCTGTAAGTGGTGGGGCCTGGAAAGCCCCTCCTTTATGCTGGAATTTTGGCTGGCTTGATCTTGTGCAGGTCTTGTACAGGTAACCACAGCTACTGTAAGTTCATACGATCAATTACCATGTCATGTCCAGAAGGCAGCATTTCATAGCTCCCCTTCCCATCCTCCAATTCTTTCCACCTCCTTTTCCATGACATTCCCTGATCCTCATTAAGGAATTGAAAAAAATGTCCCACTAAGGGCAGAACACTCAGTCTATTTTTCATAGCACTTTGACTATATATGCATCTCTAAACCTACTGCTGTCCATTGCAAAAAGAAGTTTCTCTGACCAAGGTTAGAGTAGTCCAGGTCTACAGTTAAAAATATTTAGAAGGCAATTTGGCAACATGACCATTTAAGAAAAAAGCAATATAAGTCTCTATCCTAGGGCCCATGACCTCCCCAGCCATGGACTTCTGATGAAGACTAGAGAACCAAGTATGAAATTACCTTCTCTGGAACAGGCCTCAAATATAATTTTTAAAAAATGGTTAGTCAACCTCTAACAATCTTGCCACTACTGCACCAGTGGATGCATCTTGCCTGAAATTTCTATATTGTAGAACTTTATATTGTAAGGTGCGGTGCTGGGTAAGGACCACTGATGTCTTTTCTCCCTCAGCAGCCCCCATAGCACCTTCAAGCACTATTAATGCTAACCAACAGGAAAGAAGCTTACCAGTCAGCTTGAGATTGATTTCTCTGTGTCTTGCAGCTAAGTATGTGGTGTCTTCAGCAATAGGGTCTAACCATGTAGTTATAGTGAGCAACCAAGAACATTGGCAATAACCTGTGTTGGCTGGGGAAACTTCTGACTGATTGCCCATAGGGAGGTATCCTGTGGCTTGCATTTCAATTTTCATTTAATAACCCATCTCTTCTGGGAGATGGCATTAGTCCACCCATGCAGGGTAATTTCACTGGAGCTCTTTCTATCATCTATCTATCTATCTATCTCTGTCTGTCTGTCTGTCTATCTGTCTATTTATCTATCTATCTTTTTCTATGAACTGTACATCCCAGATGTGGTTAAATATTAGTTCTGCCCATGTCTATGGGACATATGTGCATGAAATTTACATTGTAAGTGTTGGGCCTCAGGAAGCCTGTAGGGATTCTCCTTAGCATAGCTGGGCAGTTGCCAATCTGTTGAGGGCCTCATAGAAAAAAAAAGACTCAGTAAGGAAGAGTTCCCTTCCTCCTGGGTGCTTGAGCTGAGACATGTTCTCCTGTACTCAGGCTGAGACTGCCCCGTAGTGATCCTGTCTCTCGGCTTAATACACCACTGGCCTCCCCTGTGTCCATCATAAAGGTGGTACATGTTGGAACTCACAGTCCCTCATATGAGTCCATTTCCTATACTAAATCTCATTGTAAGTAATGTATCCTATAATCTCCTAGGGTTCTCTTCCTGTGGAGAATCCTGACTAATATACTTAGAATCCCAAATCAACTTTCTCCCCCTAGAACCTTCTCTTTTCTACTTGACTATGTGTGTTTTGGCTGTGACTATAGGTCACAGTAGCTGATGAGATTTCTCTAAATGAAACATCTCCTTTAAAAAAATATATGTGTGTTAAGTTATCATACTGTACTCCACAAAGATGCCTAAGTGTCATCTCTCAATTAAAAATTATAGATCTTGGGGCTGCAGAGATGGCTCAATGGTTAAGAGCACTTGCTGCTATTCCAGAGGACCTGAGTTCAGTTCCCAGCACCCATGTTAAGTGGCTCACAACTCAAGTAACCCCATTTCCAAGGGATCTGATGCCCTTTTCTGACATCTGAGGACACCCTACACACACACACACACACACACACACACACACACACACCATATATTCATACAGACATACTTACATGCACATTAAAAATATAAAATTTTAAAAATTTTGCATCTTTAAAACTTAAGTGGATTCTACTTGTTTTCTATGTCAGATTCTGTTTATGTTAATAGTGTACATGAAAAAAGCAACATTTTCTTCTGTTTCACTTAAATATGATTATTCATACACATCACAGTTCAGCTTTATCTGGACTACGGAACAGATGGAAATCAGCCTTCATGAGTCAAGTTTCTGAATAGCATTCAGTTCAGTGACTTTAGTCATTTAATATCATTTACTCCGTGGGTTAATTATTCCTTCTTTCCAATTAATCATGCAGAATCAGAGTCAGGAAATTCAGACTTGATGAGAGTCAATGCAAAGGTGCCTGTGCTATTTGTCAAAACTGAAAAGAGAAAGAAACTTTAATGTCAACCAAAAGCAGGGGTCCCAGGGGTGAAGTATATAAGGAACATTGGTTTTGAACAGTGAATACCTCTGTCTCAGCATGAAGTCTACCTAGCACTATACTAGTCCTGATGACTTAAAGAACTGAAACACAAGAAAATACATATGAAGCAATTATATTTTCAGATATGGAACAGACATGAGCTGCTGTGAGCCTAGAGATGGAAAATTTTAAAAATAAATAGTGTGTTATCTTGTGATTTTAACAAAAAGGAAAGAGACTGGAGTTTGTTGATGTGGAGGAAGGCAGAATCTTCAGGACATAACATGGGGAGAAGGAAGGCATGTAGACTGGGAGCTGCAGACATGTATACTAGAGTCCCATTAAATATTTACCTACCAGGCTGTTCATTTTCTTCCAAGGCTTTCATGTAGATGTGAAATAAATGCAGACTTCAGAAGTTGAGCGATAATGGAAAATGGAAATTCTGACCAGTGAGAATAGAGAAAGGTCACAAAACATACCAGATTTTTGATAAATAAACCGGAAAAATGCATTCTAGGAGTGAGTCTTCTCTAGATTATATGCAGATTAGTGGCTACTCTAAACCTAACTTAGTAAACCATAAAAAAACTCTAAAGAATCAAATTAGATTGCCAATAATTCAACACCCTACTAAAAACAATGAATTATTCACAGCAAAACAAAATAGTAAAATGTCCTCAACAGCATATATGAAATTGTGTAGCATGCGATCAATATGTAGAAAAATAATTGAGGAAGAATCAGAAAAACATACGTATAGCCTTTGGTGGAGTAGTCATTAATTTAAATAATTTCAGAGTTTTAAATTAGCAGAAAATGATTACAGTTCAGCTATTATAAAGATGTTTGTGAATTTTTAAAAGCTATCTGTGAGTAAAAACTTACGAGTTTTAGTAAAGAAATGAATTTTGATTTCTAACAACAACAAAAAGCTGAAAGCTTGAAGGTAGAGGTACAGAAATAATTTGTGAGGAAGTCAAAAACAGACAAAGAAAGGTAGAAATCCTCAAAACAAGGTCTGAGTGCCGAGGCTTGCAAGATTAATATCAGGCACTACAACCCGTGAGTGCTCCAGAGAGCAGCAGAGCAGTGACGTAAAAAATAGCCAAATTTTGCAGACTCAATATTAAAAGTTATTCCATAGATATAAATAGTAGAAACAATTTGACTCATTTATGAAAATAGCTTAGGGAATTTACATATCTGTTTCATGTACTATAAGTTTAGCAATTAAGAGAAATGAGACAATGACTTAAAAATAGGCAAACCGATCAGTAGAGTTCAGGGTAGGATAGAGAGCCTGGTGCCCTAGTTATATGTTCAGTGTTTGTTTCACAAAGTTACCAAGACAAGGAGCCCAAAAGAACATTTGTTGTAAATGGCCACTGTTAAGGAGCAAAGAGAGAAAGAAGGAGAAAAAGGAGGAGGAGGAGAACTGTAACAGCAACAGAAGAGGAGGAGGAGGAAGAGGAGGAGGAGCAAGAGGAGGAGGAAGAGGAAGAAGAGGAGGAGGAGGAGCAGGAGGAGAAGGAGCAGAAACTATAATGCTTACCCCAAAACCACATGTAGAAATAAGATGGATCTCATGAATTGAAAGGTAAGACCAGGAGACTCTCAGAAAAGAAAAGGAAAGGAAAGAAAATTGGGTGAACAAATGCTAGGATAGCCTAAAGAGAGAGAGAGAGAGAGAGAGAGAGAGAGAGAGAGAGAGAGAGGCAAGACATTTACAGTGGCAAAAACTGTTATATATAGCATATATAAAAATACAAATGAATCCAAATAATCCAAAGTTAAGAAGGTAAAAAGGGAAGCAGATGCCTCAAGAAAAATACAGGCCATAGCATAAGAAAATTTGTTAGACTTCAGGCAAGTGGAGATTTGAAGCAATATCAGCCAATTAAAATGCATAGTATTAAAAGGATAAATAAAATCAAGTGTCAAGAATATGGTACAACTAAACCATCAAAATCTTCAGGCCGGAATGAAAACTTTTACAGCCACCTATGAAGACAGATTCATGTCTCTTCCAAATTGTAAACAAACACCAGAGCAAACCCTCACGCCCCTCCTAGGTTCTTCCTCAGAGAAAGAAAGTATAAACATGAAAACCTGCACATGTGTGTCCATAGACCTTTTACTCATAATACCCCTTAAAAAGGAAATCATCTGTGTGCCCATCAAGTAAGAGACTATATAAGCAAATTGTAGTATATTTATACAAAGAATATTATTCAGCAATTAAAAAGAATTGACTCACTCAACAGTATGGATAATTTCAAAATCATTTTGAGTGAATATATCATAAATACAAGATTATGTTAATCCAGAATAAAAGAAATCCCAGTGTTTGCCTCTGGTGACATGGAAAAATGGTTTATATGTTGGCAGGAGCGTGGTTGCTACTTAGTAAAATTAATTGAGCTGATCCTCTGTATTTCCTTTTATGTAAATTATGCTTCTGTAGAGGCAGCATAAGAAAAGGGTATTGTTCAGTATTTGAAAACAGGAAGTTAACCAGATCAACATGTTTTAGTGATTTTTATTATTGATGAGAAAAGCAGAAACAAAACATAGAAAAATCTAAACGTGGAAATCGCCCATACATGCTGATATTTTCGTCTTATACGTGAGGGAGACTCAAAAGAAATTGTACAGAAAGATAAACTTCTCAAATCATTTCATATTTCTCCTTACTCTTCTTGGGAGATATACGCTGGGCTCATTAAAGGGCTATTTGGCAAAGGCGGAGGTCAAAGGCTGACAGGGACATGTGACAGAATCTGTCCTTCAGATGACCTGTGTGGTCTGAATGCTTCTGAGCTGGGAGCCACACATGATAAACTGTCCAAAAGTCACTGCCACATCCTAGATCGAAGTCTCTGTTCCTGGCCTGTCTCCCGGGGGAATACAGAGGGTCTAAGATGCTTGTATCAGTGAGATTTGCTTTTTCCTCTAAACTCCAGTGGATTCTGTAAACCCAGAACCACAATTCTGAGATGAAGGACTCTCATCTTTAAAAGATGCCGTTTCTTCACAGATCCACTTGCATCTAAACTCATTTGTAAAGGGAGGACAGAAGAAAACACTTGCTTGCATCTGTTGTAAACAAAACATGTTACAAGATTCACACAGATGTGATCTTCCCTAAAGGAGACAGAAATTTTGCCAACCAAAATGACGTATGTTTAAAGCGGCCAGGATAGAGGGCAGAAAAATAAATACGAATCATCTGAAATGGTTTATTTTGTTCTGCGAAGAACACAGCCAGCAGAAAATAAGCTGATGGAGTGAGCTATTAAACTCTTTTCTAGATGATGAAGGACGACTTTTCCAATACAAAACCAGACAAAATTCAATGAACCAAAGTAAGGTTTTGTACTGTGCATTTATAGCACTTATTGATACAATGAATTCAGGAAAAAATAAAGCACAATATCCTATCTCTTTTCCAGACTTTCTGAGGAGAAAAGAAGATACTTGTGGTTTTATCGTTTCTACTGCAATAGTGAGAACAGCTCCCTTCCTTTGGTCCTGGGTAGTGCCCCTGGATGGGATGAAGGAACAGTTTCCGAAATGCACGCCATCTTAAGAAGGTGGAGCTTTTCACACCCCTTGGAAGCTCTTGGTCTTTTGACTTCCAGGTAAGACTTGCCTGACAAAATGCAAGCTATTATTCGTTAGGAAGTACTTACTTGAAGAGGAAAAATATTGGACTATATAATTAGTTCAACAGCTGTTCTGTTTGTTCTCAATTTCAGTAGCTATGGCCATTAATTTCAGATAAAATACTAGTTACAAACATAAATTTCAAACACTCTAAACTATAATTGTTTCTTCACACTAAATATGCAGCCTAATTGGTGATATCGTTTCTTAAATGGAGAGTCTGGTTGCTCTCAAAGAAATAACCATAGCTGAGGTTCTAAAACAGGAGGATTGCTGTGAGTTCAAGGCCAGCTGGCCTACATAGTGAGACCTGGTCTCTAACAGAATACACCAAAAAGTAAGGAGGAGGAGGAAGAGGAGGAGAAAGAAGAAAAAAAGGATGAAGAAGAGGAGTGGGAAGAGGTAGAAGGAGAAGAAGAGAAAGAAGAGGAGGAGGGGGGAGGAGGAGGAGGAAGAGAGGAGGGGGAGGAGGAGGGGGAGGAAGAGGAGGAGGAAGAGGAGGAAGAAGCAGAAACAGAAGAACCATTCATTATCTAAATGCTTCCAACGTAAAGTACTTGCACAGGTGTAATATCTAGATGCTATTTCTTCTTTAAATATTTTATTTATCTTTTTTTAAATTTTATATGTTTGAGTGTATTGCCTGCATGTGTTATATGTGCACCCGTGTCTTGCAATACTTGCTGAGGTCAGAAGAGGGTGTTGGATCCCCTGGAACTGGAGTCATAAATGGTTGTTAGCCACCATGTCAGTGCTGGGAACCAAATCCAGGTCCTCAGCAAGAGCAGCCAGTGTTCTTAACCGCTGAGCCATCCCTCCAACCCTAGATGCTCTTTCTAATTCTCTCATGGAACCCATTTTGTGTGTCATGGTCTCAACATGACTTCTTTCACATCACAGAAAGTGTCAGTAATAAACTGAAAACAAGCCAAGTGTGGTGGCCCTCCCCTGTAATCCAGCACTCAAGGTGATGCAGGAGGATTGCCATGAGCTCAAGGCCAACCTAGGATGTATAGTGAGTTCTAAATCCACCCAGCTACAGACTCAGACCATCTCAGGACAACAGCAACAGAAATTAAGTAGGAAAAATATAACCCCTCATCTCCCTGCCTCAAAATTAAAAAAAAAAAAAATCCTTAAAACTGGGATTGTATCTGCCTTGTTTGTTTCTCCATTGCTGTGACAAAACACACTGACCACTACCAACTTGGGGAGGAAAGGGTTTATTTGTCTTACATTTCCCAGGTCACAGTTCATCAGGGAGCCCAAGGTAGGAACTCAGGGCAAGAACCTAGAGGCAGGAGCTGGAGCACAGGCCATGGAGGAACGCTGCTTATTGGCTTGCTCCCCGGCCCCTGCACAGCCTGCTTTCTTATGCATCACAGGCCCACCTGCCCAGGGATGGCACCACCCACAGTGGGCTGGGCCCTCTCACATCACTCAACAATCAAGAAGGTTCCCCATGGACATGGCCACAGGCCAGTCCAATGAAGGAAATTCCCCAGTTGAGGCTCCCTCAACCCAGGTGTGTCAAGTTGACACTAAAGCTATCCAGCACAGTATCTTTATTGAAATATGAAGAGTTTAGCTTAATAGCCTACTTGTAGTAGATGTACACTTAGCATCATGATGATGATGATGATGATGATGATGATGATGATGAAAGAGTTTATCACTTGTGTAGTCTGCAGAAATTCTAGCAGGAAAAAAAATGCCTGGGGCATAAGAACAGGCTAATGATGTCACCCTACCAAAGAGATGTCACCTGTTAGAGAGAAGCTGGCAGGTGCGGTAGTGAGAGAAGGGTCTGTGAGCAGAAGGTATTCTCCTCAGTTTCCCCTTGGTGCTCAATTCCAAGTCTGTTGAGTGCCTCAGCTCACTGCTGCTGTGAGGGCCTGTGACCTTGAGAAACAGGCAAGAACTGTGACATCCAACAATGACTGGAGTGTGAAACTGGGAGGAAAAAGATGGGGGATGGAAAAATGCAGAGACCTGTGGAAATGACTTGTTTGAGCTTATTTACAAATGATTGTGATGCTGTTGAATGGGAAATGGGGAGATCAGTGATTTTCCTATTTCTTGAAACCACTTTTAGTTTCTTTTTTTAAAACCTTTTTAAAAATTTTTTGTGTATGCGTGTATTCCCTGCATGTAGGTAAGTGCACCCATGTCGTGCAATGCCCGCGGAGGTCAGATGAGGATGTCGGATCCCCTAGGACTGGAGTTACGGACAGTTGTTAGCTGCCATGTGGGTGCTGGGCGAACCTGGGTCTTCTGCAAGAACAACCAGTGCTCTTAACAGCCGAGTCATCTCTCCAGCCCGAGTGTGTGTTTTCTAAACATCACTCTCCCCATTGACAGAAGGAAACAGTGAGTCTGAAAACTGCATCAGACACGTGTCCTGTGTTGGCAGTATGCTGGATACTGCATACTCCCCAAGACGAAGTTCAGTTCCATTTTAAGTCTCTTAGAGGTTAAAGGACCTACCTAAGTTTACACAGCCAGATAGTGGCGAGTTTGGACTTCCGACTCTACCCCAAGTCTTCTTCTCCTAGCCGAGTTCTGAAGCACTGCAAAGGAAGTTCATAAACAGGAAAATTCTGCAAGAACAACCAGTGTTCTTAACTGCTGAGCCAGCTCTCCAGCCCCTACTTTCTTAATTGTCAAGCTCCAAGCTTATACATTATCTTTTGTGATCCTCATGACAAAGGTTTATTAGTTTTATGGCTTCTATTGATTTGTGTGTGTTCAGACATTGACTTCTTCCTTTATATAGAAAGAAATATGCACATTTCCGTGTGCATACCCATTCATGTTAGTGGGCCTTTCTCTCTCTTTTCTTTCTCTCTTTCTTTCTCTCTCTCTCTCTTTCCTTCCTTCCCTCCTCTATCTCTCTTTCTTTCTTTCTTTCTTTCTTTCTTTCTTTCTTTCTTTCTTTCTTTCTTTCTTTCTTTCTGTTTTGAGGCAAGGCCTCATTGTGTACCTTAGCCTCGCCTGAATCTCACAGAACTTCGCCTATCTCTGCCTCACCTGTGTTGGGATTAAAGGTATGCTCCATCATGACCAGCTAACCTTTTTTTTTTTTCTTATATGACTTCTATAAAATATTTCCTGATCATCTCGTGTGGAACCCATCAATTCTGTCTGGTACTCTCCTCTGTTTCTCTTTGAGTCACATCTCATTGCAGTGTCTTTACATGTAACAACACATCAGATATTCACATTGTTACCCACATGAAACTGACAGCTAGTTAAGGCAAGGCAAATCACTTTAGTGTTTCTGTGTCCCAGAGGCTTAATAATAACCTGAACTTAATAACTGCTAAATATTGAATCAATTCCTTTGTGTTATCATTTAAATTGAGGTTATATGAGAGCATTATCTGTTTTTTACTTTGTATATTAAGGAATGAGGAAAATCATAATGTGGTAAGATAATCAACTGATAATTGTGTTAACTGTGTTGGGCATAGTATATCATGCTAATATTTGTAGGCTCTTTTGAGAAAGACAAATTCTTCCATCCACCTCAGTCCTAGCCCCTCTTCCTGGCTAAAATATAAAAAGGGAATCAAAATTCCACACCATTATTTTGCAAAATTCTAGCTGCTCTTAACCACTGAGTCATTTCTCCATCCCATCAAAAATCCTTAATGTTATTGACTGTTAGAAAGATACCCTCATAGGATGCTTCCTCTTACACTCTATGATTGATGGTAATCAAGGAGGCAAAGCTATTGAAAGCATTACAAAGATGTAGTGACATCAGAGCCGCATTATCAGTGGTGGGACTACGGGGCCATGCAGACAGAAGGGAGCCAGCACGGCGGTTCCTCACATGTTGGATGTAGCATTGCTATAGGAGGCAGTCATGGAAAATATGTCCATTCAAAGACTCATGCACAACTGCTCAGAGCATCACAGTTTATTAAAAAAAAAAAAAGTACAAACAAACCAAAAGTCCACCCATGAATGAATGAATAAAACGTGGTCTGTCTGTGCGTTGTCACATTATAGTGAAAGCTTACTACTGATATATGCTACTGTGTGAGTGAAACCTTGTGAACGGAACACTGAGTGAAAGAAGCCGCTGACCAAAGACCAAGCAGTGCCCATGCATGGGAAATGTGCAGAGAAAACAAATCTCTACGAGCACTGGGTCCATTCCCAGTAATTCAGGGCCTGGTCAAGTTGGAAGGAACAGGTTCAAGGGAGTACTTTTTGGTTATTGTTGCAGAAATCTGAGAATGTTCAAAAGTCATTGAATTGTGCACCTTAAGGTAAATTGCATCATGGTTGGATTATATCTTGAAAAACACAGCTTTGGGGCCCAGTGGGATGGCATAGTGGATAAGGTTGGTTGATGGCCTGAGTTCTATCCCTAGGAACCCACATAAAAGTAGGAGAGAATGGACTGCTGCAAATTGTCTCTGAGCACCTGCATACAGTGGCACTTGGCACACGTGCACACACACATGCACATTCATGTACATGCACACATACACTCATGCACATAAGTAAAAGCAATTTTCAAACTAAAATGTAAATTGAAACACCGTTTTGAATTTTCAACAAAATGTGTGGAGGAGCCCATGCCTGTAATCCTAGAACATGGGAAGCTGAGCCAGGAGGATTGCCTTGTGTTCAAGACCAGTCTGATGATGACCACACCAGCCTGGAATGCATAGTGAGACACTAAAAAAATTAACAGAAGAGCTATGAAGGTAAAAGCTATGAATCTGTAAACTGATTTAGAGTTTAATTATAGGGGGACAACTTTCTAAATCTTCCAAAGGAATTCACTTTACTAAGAAATACCTTAGTCTATATATTATCTAATGACTATTAAATGTCAATGATGTCATTTTCAAAAGTGCACAGGATTTTTTTTACAAAATCTTTGTAGAAAACAGTAGTCATACTTTGTTTACTGGCTTAATGGATGTGAGAATGAACTGGATCAACTTCTATAAGC